CAGACAGACAGACAGACAGACAGACAGACAGACAGACAGACAGACAGACAGACAGACAGACAGAGACAGACAGAGAGAGAGGAGGGAGGGGATGAGAAAAGGGGGAGTGGAGTAAGTTCGTGATCAACACTGCGCAGACGATCTAAAGCTTGTCTTTTCATATTTTCCCTAAGGAACTGCCTTTTTTCGTAACGAATGGAAGTGGAATTGATATTACGTCATACCAAAGATCAATTAATGTGAAAACTTAACCCCTATGATTTACGGTCTGAACTCTTCATCAGAAATGGATGTGCATGTATTTTTGTAAAGCTGCAATAAAACGAATAACCCGCCAAGCTGAGTAACGGTCGAGTCCACAGAGACAGACTATCATTTCTCTGTAGCCATTAAATGGCTAATAGTTTTCGTTTTTTTCTTTCTATGTTTACACGAGTTTCAGCACACGACCTTTTCACCCAGCGTCACGAATTCAACGAACATAATTACAGTGTCTACACGCGGGTCCTTGTTCCTTTTACAAAATATATGCGTAGGCTACTAGATCTATGTACACTTTTTCTGACTTTCAGCTTTTCCAGAGGACAGATACAATTATGGACAGCGTCCAGTTAGTTCCCATTTTATTTTATTTAATTTTACTGAGGGCCTATCTCATAGCAAGCAAAACAAGTACAAGCACAATTCTACTAGGCGGATAGAGAAAGTTTCAAAAACGGTTAAATCAAGACACGTCATAAAAATTATACAAATTGATTACCACAACACCAGGGCCAATTTGTTTTCTTCTGGATTATCATGTTTATTTCGTTTCGTTGTTATTTTCGGGCTGATTTCGTTTCGTGTATTTGAAATTCCAGGATACTCTTGAATTATTTATATATTTTAATAATATAGTGCAAGGGATTCAATGATGACGAGACGTAGATCTAATACTTGAAGATCAGGAGTTTACATCCCCATTGCATAGGGGTCGTCCATGATTATTTTAAAAAACGAATTGTTGATCAGATAAAAACGAAAGGATTCGGATTGGGCGTCAAAAATTTAGTTTTAATTCAAACAGAGGCAACCGCGAATAGGGTGACGAAAGTGAAGAGGAAAATTTAAAATTCAGGAAAGAGTAAACCTGGACATATTAAAGGAGCGGTCAGCAGAGGGATGGGTTGTAAGCAACAACAACAACAACAACAAAACAGAACTATCACTGAACAACAACAATCATACATTAATAGAACAATCATTAAACAACAGTAGAACAATCATTATAAAATAACTGCAGAGCAATCGTTAAAAAACAACAGGACAATTAAACAACAAGGCAACATTTTAGGCCTACACCTCATCGACATAATTTAAATAATTTAAGAGACAGACTGCTTCGACAACTCGAGATGAGAGAGACAAAAAAACGCCATTGGACAGACGGACAGACTGAGATACGCGACAAAACATTTTGCCAGACGGGAATTGAACTCATATCTTCTGCATTCGAAGGCGTCGCTGCTGCTCGACTGAAACCGATCAAATAGCAACAGAAGAGCCAAACAACAGGAGACCAATCAAGCAAACAAACAAGCAACAAAGTATGAAAAGTGTGTGTGCGTGTGTGTGGTCTGCGCGATATAGAAACAGCAACTACAAAACTCTGGGTTCCACAACGGGCGGTGAAGGAACAAAAAGAACAAGCGTCAACCTACGTCAAACTAGCCCTCAGAAAGGATTCCGACAACGGTCACGGGAAAGTCGAGATCCCAGGTATTTACCTCAACCAGGAAACACGACACATCAGGTCAAGGGTAAAGGTCAAAAGCTTCTTTAGGTAACGGTTTTCGTTGATCTGGTTATACAACTGCTCACATTTCTTTCTGTCTTTATGAAAGAAGAAGCAACACCTGATGGGTTCTAGAATAAGTACATTACTTTTAAGTCTTTTAGAAGCCTGCATTTCATGTTTACTAGAAATGTATACATTTTTGTTGCAGAGAGTAAGTATGAGTTACAAAAAGCAATTTTCAGTTCTAGGATCGTTGCGTGTAAAAGTCTCTGTATGATGTGTGTGGTGTATCAGTGTGGTGTATTTGTGTGATGTATCTGTGTGGTGTATCTATGTGGTGTATCTGTGTGGTGTATCTGTGTGGTGTATCTGGGTGGTGTGTCTGGGTGGTGTATTTGTGTGATGTTCTGTGAGGTGTATCTGTGTGGTCTGGTATATCTGTGTGGTGTATTTGTGTGATGTATCTGTGTGGTGTATCATTGTGGTGTATTTGTATGATGTTCTGTGAGGTGTATCTGTGTGGTCTGGTATATCTGTGTGGTGTACCTGTGTGGTGTATCTGTGTGCGTATCTATGACAGGTATATCTGTGTGGTGTATCTGAGTGGTCTGTGTGGTGTATCTGTGGGGTATACATGTATCTGTGTGGTGTATCTGTGTTGTGTATCTGGTGTTTCTGTGTGGAGTATCTGTGTAGTGTATCTGAGTGGTGTATCTGTGTGGT